GGCAAGGGGAGGCCGGTGTGTAAAGAAATGAATTCGAGCATGGCGACGTATTTTTGGTGCATTCGTCGTATCGGTTGGCGATGTTTCTGTCAGGATGTATGTACGCGCCTCGCATTTCCATACATACACATACATGCCATCAGGGGGCACTTAAGCCGTTATGATGAGGGAGCGGATGCGAGTCAGAGATTACTTGGATGTACGTGTAGATAAGAAGTACTTGGATGGGCATGTGGAAGCATACAGATCATTGGTCTTCAATCAATCCATCACTTATTTGACGAATTCTCCCAGCGTCTCATCCGATCACATCAAAAACACTTCCAGCTCTCTCTCGTTCTTTCTAAATGACGTACCACACCCATACACACACGTAATACGTCTTAGCATGTCCATAGCTTAGCGAATAGTCAACGTACAGAAATTGTTTGCCCACCATTGAAAGGATGGTTGAAGAAGTAAACGATGATGTCATCAGCATGAGGATGCGATGAGTCATCTTGTAAAATGAGGACGAAAGGAGAATATTGGTACCATATCTCACAAATAGAGCCGTGTCACACTAAATATAACAGCCTATGAGGGATAGGATAATAAGATGCAAGCAATGTATAGGTTTGTAGTCGATGGGCATGGTGTTGGCCATGACCCGACTGCGTGGCCATCCCTGTCGCGAGGCCACCCCTGGAAGCCTTTGCCACTCACCAATGTTGCCTGCATTGCGTTGTGCGTCTCGCTCAGGGCTACCGATCGCACCTTCCCTCCTACATTTGGGGAGCCGCGGGGACCTGCGGTAACCCCCACGCTGCAGCCTTCACCGACCAGCCGCCGACTCAGCACCCCCCCCGCCCCTCGCCGCCTGCCCAGGCTGCCGTATCCTTCTCTACCCGCGTGCGTATAGAGCATGCACAAGTGTGTGCGTAGAGACATTCATCACATACGCACCCTCTAAGTCCACTCGTGCATACGCAAGTGTGCGCATAGAGACATTCATCATGTACGCATCCTCCAAGTCGACTGGTCCATGCGCAGATTTCTGTAGACAGACATTAATCACATACTCCCCCTCCCCTCCAAGTACCCGCGGCAGTGATGGCCGCCGAGATCATCAGCGGGGAGCTCGCTCACCAGCGTTTCCTCCACTATAACGATGCAGCCATCGACCAGCTGCAGCAAGTGTGCCGCAACGCACCTGACATCAAGAGGAGCAAGATGGAGGAAGGAGAGGAGCACAAGTATGAGGTGCGTGTCCAATCTAACACGACGAGTCGGCCCTACCTTGGTGATGCCTTGCGTCGTTCGGCACCTGGTGATCTCGTGCACGTCGACCTGGCACAGATCAAACAGCTCAGCGAGAGGGGATTCAAGTGGCTCATGGTCATGGTGGACGACTACAACCGCTATGTGCAGGCCTACTTCCTGAAGAAGAAGTCCACCGCACCGAAGGCGCTCATGCACTACTGCATGGCCATCCGCATGCCCAAGGCAGTGAAGACCGATGGAGGGCCGAGCTCATCGCCGGTACGTGGAAGGCGTTTTGTGAGGAGCACCAGATCCACCACGAGAAGAGCCTGCCGCGTCATCAAGCACAAAATGGGATAGTAGAGCCACTTGCGCATGCACGTTTGGACTTGAAGTGTGTGTATCTGATAAATCTCTCTGTGCGCACACCTGCGCATGCATGCGTGGACTTGGGATTTGTGTATATCATTAATGGCTCTGTGCGCACACCTGCGTATGCGCTGTCATGAATGGCTCTGTGCGCACACCTGCGCATGCATGCGTGGACTTGGATTGTGTGTATCTGATGAATGTCCCTGTGCGCACACCTGCGTAAACACGCGTGGACTTAGAATGTGTGTATACGATGAATGCTTCCTGCGCATGCACGCTTGGACTTGGAGTGTGTGCATATGCTGAATATCTCTGTGCGCACAGCTGCGTATGCATACACAGCATGAAACTGCAAGCATACCTGGTCTCGAGGCCTCAGGTGCGTCTACAGCAGCGGCTGACCGACCAGCTGCACAAGTTCCGCTTCAATGAGCTCTTCAACTCCCTCCCGCCGGACGGCAGAGCCCGCGCCCGCCTTTTGAGCTGTCGAGGACCTCTCTCATCTGGTTGGTTATCCGGCATCCCTTCCAGCGACCACAAGTCCCTGAACAACTTCCAGTGCCTCCTTGCCATCGCCGAGTGCCTCGGCATCGCCCTCCCGCACGCGACCGTCACGCAGCGATGCATCTGCGGTGGCGAGGTCGATAAGCACTACTTTGTCTGCCACACAGGCCGCGTGCGCATTACGAGACACAACAACATGCGCAACTTGTCTGTTCGCATCCTGGCTGAGGCTGATGTTCCCTCCAACGTGGAGATGCCCCTGCACAGCCTCGGCATCACCCCTCCGGACGACAACCCAACAGCCAGCGCATGGACATCTATGGCGTGATCAACGGCCACGATTACCTGCTCGACGTCACCATCACCCATCCCTGCTGACCTGACGCATCCACTATCCCCTCCCACCGGACGGTGAGCCGGCCGGCGCGAAGCTTTCAGGTAGCAAAGCAGCCCAACTTGCGGAGAAGAAGAAGATCGACAAGTATGGCCTGCCGCTCAAGCAGCCGGCTTTCGCTTTGTCCGTCTCGCCGCGGAGGCATTTGGCAGATGGGGAGAGCAGACAAGTCTCAAATTGCTCGCCAAGTGGAAGCCCCGCCCCACCTCTATTCCTGCTGACGAAGATGGGGCTTCTCGAGAGAGTGTCATCAACCATTGGAGCCAGCTTCTGTCCGTGAAGCTGACGAAGCACAACGCTTTTCAAGTGGCCAGCTGTGCGCAGCGCCGCCAGAGGGCCGCGGAGGGCCAGCGCTTTTCCAGAGGACTTCGTCAGCCGCGGGCCATACAGGCCGCACACCAACCCCGCCTCGGGGCTATAAGGTGGCTGGCTGGCTTCGGATGCCGTGTGCATCGTATTGCATGTCTCGTGCTTGGTGTGTTTGCAGTGAATCCTGTGTGTGCCTGCACCGTGTGTCTTCGCACGTGTGTGTGTCCTGCGTGGCGTGCAGTGGTTGAATGTCTGTTCTTTGGTTTGCAATGTGTGTTTCCCGTTGCCCTGCGAAGTTTGCTTGATTCGAACGTCGGTGTCTTTGGATGAGGCTTTGGAAAACTACGTCGCCCGTTCTTGGTTTTACTTCAAAAACAATGGTTGCATACGATATGAAGCGACACGCGGGCTCACAAACCGGAGGGGGGACTTGTGCGACGCGTATAGGGGCCTCGGCTGAGGAAGTCCTCTGGACTGAAGCCCTTTTTTCTCGGGTCCTCCTGGAGATGCGACACGTTTCGCGCGACTAGCCACACGCGTCGTGCTTTACGAGCTCTACGGACAAGAGCCGCCCTGATGGTTGATTGGTTGATGATATTCTCACTGAAGAATGTGCCTTCAGCGGCGGGGATGGCCAAGGGGCGGGGCTTCCTCTTGGTGAGTATCTGACGAATTGACCGCCTGCCC